GAAAATGTCATTAACTCCCTGCTGCCTGAGGGTTGTTAAAGAATGACGTAAGACCCCTGGCGCGGCATTTCTAACCTGGGGTCTGGCGACCCTCAGAGAAGCTTCCTCAAACTCAAATAGCATAGTTTAACTTTTTTTCTTTTTTTAACTAAAGGCCCTGTGTGTAATTGATATTGAAAAGCGCATATAGCTTCATTTAAGCCAAACTTGCTCTTCGTTAACAGTTAGTTCACTTTGTCCAAGAGTGAATAATTTCAGAATAAGACTCATGGAAGGAAAATAAATTGAATTTTACATTGCTTCAGATACATTTGCTCCACTTATTGCTTCCCGAGTCAGACATTACATTTTGCAATATAAATTCACAATCAAGATTTTAAAGGGAGCTAAATATTTTAATCCAATTAGACAAGTGAACAAAACACTGAATATTACATGTAGTGTAGATAAGTGGTTCTTGCCTTTAAAAGACTGTAATTCCGTCACATTACAACCCCAAATGTCAATGTTGTCTTTATTTTTAACGCTTTCAAACATGAGGCAGCCAGAGGCTCCACTCTCTGCTGTTGGTGACACTGTCTGTCCTTTGGGAATTCTTAAAATCTATTTACCATGGAAACATGGTGCGTATAAAACACAGACCCCTGCCCATGTGCAGGGGAAGTTCTCGTGACTCATGAGATTCAAGAACGCTGGAAGATGACACGCTGGGGATCCCGAGGGTTGTGGAAGGAACCCCCGTGCTGGAGTGTGCTCTGGGGAGAACCTGGCGCAGCAGTCCCGCCCCTGGGCGCGCGTGGCCTCCGCCTCTGACCGCTCCTGTCTGTGCGCAGGGCTCCCTGCATCCCCCCACATTGCAAGTCCCAAGTCCAGATCGAGCTGCTGTTTTCCAGGAAGCTACAGTGTCATTGTCCACACTTTCTTTCTGCGAGGAAGTCTGTCCTGCCTTTACTGTTGCGTTTTTCTGGCTTCTGTAGTTCTTCTCTGATTTTGGAGCCCAGAGGCAGCAAAGTCAGGCCCCAGAGTCCAGGGAAAATGAAGCCTGAACTCTGCCTGCCACAGAGCTTTCATTGTCAGAGACCCAGCCAGGCAGCCGGGAGGGAAGAATAAATCGAGGACCTGTGGTGACCTTGCCACGAACTCCTGCCCGTTTGGCAGCTGTGCTGGCCGGAGGGGTACACAGCTTAGCGAGAGCTCCAGTGACTTGTGTGGGGCAGAGGCAGGCCTCTCCTGACCTGCAGTTCGCGACCTTGAGCCCCGTGCTGGGTGGAGAACTGCCTGCTTACAGGTCAATGGTCATGTCTGAGGCCACGTTTCCACAAAGTGCTGCAGGGGACTGGTGAGGACAAATTGGTGACCACCCATAGGTCACATGGCTGATTTATTCCGGGCTGCCTGATATATTTGATTCCTCCTTAATCCCAGAAATATCAAACGTGGTTGCTCTTTCACTAAGCTGGTTGGAATAGCATTAAAAAGAGCCTGGACTTTGAGGTCAAACTGCCTGGGTTCAAATCTCAGTTCTGGACCACTTCAGGTAAGTTCTTCGCTTCCGCATCGCTCAGTTTCTGGTTAAAAAAAAAAAAAAAAAAAAGTAATAGAACGAGCTTCCTTTTAAAACGGAGCTCTCTGCATTACTAGGGCCCAGAAGAGATGACCGTCTAGCAGGGTAGCACTGTGATTGCTGAAGGCTTGAAAGGGCCACTTGGAGAAATCATTTAGCATCCATTTTGCACAGATGGAAAAATCAGGCCCAGAGGAGTGGAGTGACTAAAGCTGGGAAATGAACTTCCAGAGAGACTGGTATTCATTCCCTGGGCCATGGGCTGCATGGAAGGGGGAGGGAGTTCCCTCTCTCCCGGGGCAGCAGCCTGGAGCTGGGCCCCAGCTGAGAAAGCCGCAGAGCAGTGGCCTGGCTCCCAAAGTGGGGACACATGGAGGAGGGTACTGGGGGCTTCCCTGGAGCTCTGTCAGCTGAGGCCAAGCTTTGAAATGCCCCAGATAGAGGTTGGGGGAGGGATTCTACCTTCTTTCTTGAGTTAAAAATAGATGCTTTTCTGCCAGAGGCATGAGGAACAGGTCCATTTTTTTTTTTTTTTTTTTTTAACCTGGCCACACAGAGACGGAAAACGTACAAATGAGCAAGGGAAAAAGCAAGAAGGAGGGATATTCCATTGGGAGGGGCTGCTAAGAGGCCAGTGGAGATGCACAGAGAAGAGACACATGGTGGAAACAACGGGCAGGCTGAACCGTGAGCATCCGTATGCATAGGGCCTAGCTGGTGCCGTGACATCCCTGGGCTGCGGGCTTGGGAACGAAGCTGCAGAGAAGGTTCAGCTGGACCCCGCAGTGTGGCTGCTTGGGGAACAATTCAGGTCACCCAGAGAGACTCGTTTTTTAAACTTTGAATTTAAACTTCGGAAACAAATTAGACACACAAGTCAGGGTTTGTGGAGAGAAGGCTCTGTTAGGGTTTAAAATGAGAACAAAGAAAACGGGTCACTGATAGCGGGCTTGCAGTTGGGGAGCATTTATATCATCTGTGGACAGCGCTGCAGAAGAGCAGCTGCCAGGGTGCTGTCAGCCCTCCTCAATCTGGAGGGCAGCCACGACAACTGCAGATGTGGCCACACCACCCAGGGGGGCCACAGCGAGGGGCCTCGGTGACAAGTGTGATGGTCCAGGGACGGGAACATGGTGGCTGAGGGCTCAAGCCACGGTTCACACTGGCTGTGTCCCATCGGCACACACACCCTCGTCTCCCTTACAGCCCGACCTCACGGTGTCCACAGCGGTGTGGGCAGTGAACCAGCTTTCTGGAAATAGGCATGGCTCATGTCCCTCAGAAGTGATGGCAGACGAGCCAGATTTTGGCAGTAACTAAAGATTCTGTCTCTCTGGACATGCTCCCTGCCTAAGGGGAAGAACCGAGAAACATTCTCTACTAAACATCCAGACATCCAAGGGTGACACTGAGAGCTATTTAGCAGGAAGACAGTGACATAACAGGGTACATGATTCATTCAGTCCCATTTGCTGAATGCTCACGACGGCTCGGGCAGCGAACAGTAAGTACTATGAGGAGGAATGCAGGGCTTTGCACCAAAACCAAATGAAAGAGAAAACCGATGGAGCCCGGGAGAGAAATGAGGGCTGACCCCTGGGCAAGTGCCAGCAGGGAATGGGCCAGGCGGTGGGCAGTTCCTGGCGGGAACCGCGAAGACTCATGCGAGAACTGCCCGTTTCCTGGAGCTTGGTTTTAAAAAATTCCCACAATACATTTCCCTTCTACTTCAGGTCTTTACTGTTCTGTGTTGTGCGTGTTACAGGTATGTGTCTTTTCTACCTCAAGGTCAAATTTTTTTTTTTTGAAAACGTGCCTATTGCAGTTTATGCTTATTCTCGTATTCAAAGACGCCCTCGAATCTCTAAAGTTAGAAAGTAAGCCACCATTTCCAGAGCACCCGGTGGGCAGGCAGCCTGCCTGTCTGTGGGACAGGAGGGTCATTCAAGCCAGTCATTCACTGGATCCGTTCAGTCAGGACCGGAAGGCAAATCAGCTCTTGGAGATCCTGTGTTTGATGGGCAAATGGAGCTGGCGGCAGCCTCTGAGGACAGGGGCGCCCTTTCTGCAGCGGCAGGGCCCTGGGGCTCCCTGGCTTCCTTGTGATGCTCCAGGAGCCCCGTGGGCGCCACGAAGGAGGGTCCATCCACCTCCCAAACCCCCAAAGAGATGCACACAGACACCACTCACTTCCTCACCACGTCCGGGGCCCCCCACTGTCTGAGAGCAGGGCTGCACACGATACTCTAATTGCCCTGTGTCAAAACCCACAGAACTGCTCACTAAAAAGTCATGAGTGTCTCACATATGCTGGGAAATCTACTTGAAATGTAAACGTTTTCTCATTTTTTAAAAAAGATAACAGGCTAATTTTCATATTTTTCTTGTGCAAACTCTGATCTTGGAAACGCTGATCACTCGTCCTGTCTTGGAAATCCTCCACAAGTAATCGTGGCTTAAGTTGGGTAGACAAGAGCCCTCTCTAATTCAGGAAATCTCTGTTGGGGAGTGCAGAGCCCACTTGTTTCTCTTGAAGATGATTCTCACCCAGCCAAACAGAGACCAGATGGGGCCCGTGTCCCTGCATTACATTCCAATTCATCTCTTGAAGTGAGAACTGGGATTCGGTAGTTATCATCCTAGCCCTCTATCTAGTCTCTACCATCCTGGTGACTTCACACTCCTGGAGGGCAAAGACCGTGTCTGAGTCATCTTCCCACACAGGACACAGTAGGTACTCGAGAAATGTCCTGTGCAATGTAACTATTTCCAGTGGTTTCTGACACCACTTCCTGACGTGGGTTAAACTAATTTGAACAGCCACATCCGACATCCGCTAGGGCAGGCAGCAGTACTTTCCTAACTTGCGACTCCTTCAACCCAATTTTCATGAGCTAGTTTTGAAACATTTATTCCTGTTTAAAACTAGGAGAGGACATACACTAAATTCCCTCTTCCAGCATGTGGTAGGTGGTTTCCATGTGAAAATGCCTTTATATATGTTAAAACACACTGTCTGCATCTAAACATTTGGAGGTGTTAGCTTGTTATCATTTCACCAGGAATTTCTTAGGGACACTTGGTCTATCCACATCCTGTTTTTTTGTCCAGTTTTACTCACTGTAATGTCTGAGCAATTTTCAGTAAACAGATTCTGGCACGAATCAGTGTCTCCTTTCTCCTGTCCATGGGGGAAGAGATGGCTCTTTAGCTGTGTCCTGTCATCAGACCACCCTTATTTAAGAGACATGCAGAGGTCTGGAATATAGCGTGTCTTCAGATTTAAAGCATTAAAAGAGTTCACCTTATATTCCTACAAACTTTTCATACAGTTGGTTACGTACAATTTCTATAATTTTTGCATAAGAATTTTTTACAGAAACTTAGAAAGAGGTAACTAAACCAGTGAGAAGACAAATCACATTGAAGAACATGATCTATTTAAACTTACTTTTTATTATCATTTTTTCCAGTTACCCAGCATGCCACAATCTGATTGCTGACCTGGATGAAACAGTGAAATAAATGATTTACAAAGAGATATTTACATTCATCTGATTTATACGTAATATGCCACAATGCACCGCGACCTTCCCAGTGGACCCCACCTTAGACTGCGGCGGGCTGCGTCATCACCGCCACATTCGTTGCCAAGCGGTCCCTGCAGGATGGATGGGCTGGAGCTGAAGTCTGACACTAGACGAGGAGACCTCCTGGTGTATGTTTTCAGAAAAGGCTCGAAGTTATTATGTTTTTATATCTGCTCATTTGTATGCTTTGTTACACATGTGAATTTCAATAAATGAATTTTTTGAAGACTTGAAATGTTTCCTTTTTATCTTGTAGTGATGAAAAAAAAACACACCAAAAAAAGGCACATATTTTAACTAGGCTAAAGGGTATTAAGGACCAAACCTTTTTTCCTGCCATTCATGTTTCTTTCCCTCTTGGAGAGATCTATATATATTATCCTTCAACTTTATTTGCTTTTAATCAACATCCCATAAGACTCCATTATTTATCATCCTGCTAATTTGTGCACAGTCAGAAGACACCAGGAAGCACTAGGCATTATCCTCTCCACTCTGTTAACAACAAAAACAGACAAAAAGCATCTTTGGCTTGGTGGTGTCATGTTTCTTCTTCAATATGCAGTAATTGAGAGGAGGCTAAAAATGTACTCAGTGAAATTACAAAATTTACTTCTATCAAACATCTGTACACAGATCATCATTTTAGTTTAACATAGTATTTCTACTATTCACAATGAAGCCCTCAAGTGCTTTAAAGTAATAAAAATGGGCGCTGAAAGTGTTGTGTTGTCCTTGAGGATGACAATGGAACACTAAGGGCAAGGCTGCAGTCGGGACAAGTCCCTGACCTCAGGCTGTTCTCCCTGGCACGGATCTGTCATCATCATCACATCACATCACATCCTCTTCATGGCCTCTCAGAAGGATGTGGATTAGGGCTCTGGAGGCGGTGGGATGATACACCCGCTAAGACCATTGAGTCTCTCGAGCATGGACAAGGTTCAAGCCTGAAAGAATAGAACTTCTATTCAGATTCAGAAGTTTTTTTGATTTCATCAAGTGTGCTAGACATAAAGGTTGTCACATAAGATATATTAATTGTCCCTAATTCTGTTTCAGGAACAGGAAATAAATTACACAATATTCTAAAAATAGCACCTTTAAAGAATTATAGAGGTCACTTTATGTTAGCCTCCTGGATCTGTCCACCCCAGTGGTTTTGAGAGAAGAGCACATGTAAGAATGCCCTCCAGTTTGGCTGTGTGACATACACATAACATGCTTGACCAACTTTGGTCCCAAAGCCGTTCCTCTATCTGGCTTAGTCACAGAGCAAAGCCAAGCTTCTCCAATAGCATTTAGGTTTATGAGGTAAAATCAGAAAAATGACCCTAGGTAAATCAGACTGTAGTCCAACCATCCTACCCATCTATGACCCACGTTTCAGTTGGTTAATTTGCCACGACGTTTTAAAAATATACTCTAAGAAAGGAAGTATGCAGCGCAACACATTATCAGGAAGACATTACTGACGAGCTACATTCCTTAAGAATTCTGGGTCCAAACCGCCTGGTGGGAGGACTACTAGGGGCTTAACAAATCTCAAAAAATACCTATTCTATCTCCAGCTTCACAGATCTCTCCTAAGCCCATTGTTGGGAAGTCAGCATCCCCCCTTTGGAAGCAGCCCTTCATCAAAGTTTGTACAGTTGCATTACTGCCATTTTATTGAATAAAATAAATCCTGTGTGTGTTTTGAGCTACAAGAAATGTACATACTTTCCTGTCACACTTTATATAGAATGGGTTAATACCAGGTGACGCTATTCATCTTTTTTTAGAAAAGAATAATATTTAATTTTCTGAGATTACGGAACCACATCCAACAACAATAAACAGAGAAGTAGCAGATTGACATAGTGCTTTATTTAAGCTGTCTGTACGAAGGAAAATAATGTGCATCCCTATCATATACGTGTAAAAATACTAAGGATGTACAGTGTACAAAAACAGTTTCTTGTAGTTATTTCACATCCTTGTGGGTCATATACTTAAGGAAATAAACAGTTTTAGTATGACCAACAGTAATAGTAATACAGTTTCTTGGGTTCATAGTTGCGTCTGCTTGAAATCCTTAACCAGATGACTAGATCTTGCGCGGATCTAATGAAAGAACTAGCAAGGTCAAGAAATGTCACAAACTATAAAGCTACAGGGAGGTAATTCAATTACCAATTTAGAGGTTTTCTTCTTATTTAAATAAATACTTTACATTTCATGCTTGCCTGTAATGCAGTACCAGGAGCAAGATAAGGGAGTTCTACTGTAGACACAGTACAAACAGTAGCAGCAAAGTGTGTACGCTGAGGTGTAATAGAAAGACCCTGCAGTTAGTAAGGAAGGCCCTTACTTTGTACTCTAAGAGAAGCAAGTGGCCCTTGCAAGAACAGTCAGCTTTAAGAAGCTGGAAATCAGGTATGGGAAATGGAAAACACTGGAATAATGCTATGTAGTTAGTGTGGAAAGCAAAGCTGTGAGCAGCCCTGCCAAAGGTCCAAGCAGAGACGGCCAATTTCCTCCAAGATGGCTGCATCATGGCAAGAGGCAGACTTCAAGGAAGTTGGTACAGGAAGGAGTCTGCAAAGCCTGAACTTCTGCTATTCTGACAGAGTGACTCCAGGGCCAGGCCTTTCCGTCCACCAGAATCTGAAACTTCAGCTATGGGCAGACATGAGGGAAGTTTTAGAATCTCCTTCTACACACATTTCTGTTTTTCTATTGTTTTTCCATGCCAGCTGACTGAGATCAGGGAGTGAAAGTAAGGGATTCTTAAAAATCAAAGCCAACAACACACCCTGTGTGACGCTAACAGAATCTCGGAGGGGATACGGGACTAAGCCCCGGGCACCAGCTGGGGACAGAGAGCCAGCTGTGCAGAGTGGCCAGCCTGAGGCACAGTCAACGCTGTCATTAATCCTTAGGAAGTGTCCTTGGCCAAGGTCATGGAAATTACCTTAAGATTTGGGGGGGGAAACCCCAAAACTATCTGTGTGCTTAGTGTATGGTGTACTTTCCCTCTAAAGAAATGAATGCTCTGAACACCAGCCAGTCTCAGCTTTCTTCTCTTCCTCTCACCTGTTCCTTTTTTATATAATGGATGCAAGACAACTTACAGGACATACCTTCTAGTCTACTTTCTTGTCAAAGTGAAACATTCAACATAATTCCAAGTGAAAAAAAAAAGTTGAGCTATATGTGTAAGTAAGAATGAACTACCATTTTACTGTAACTTCCTACTCAGTACTAAGGATGAACTTCACTCAGGTAGAAATATGAAAAATTAGGATAAAATCTATGTCTGAATATGTCTTAGCTGCCTTAGTAAAATGCCCTTTAACCCCCTGTCAGTCCCAGTGGTCCACCCACTGCCAGCAGTGGTTTCATATCTGTAAACCCACACTTCCAGCGTCAAGAGGCTAAGACATCTGCATATGAATATGATTCATCCTACTTAGAAAGTCACTTGCTCTTTCATACAATGCAATCATAACACTACGTCATGCTGCAGTCTTCCATTTGGGAGCTGTCAGATAGTTTAACTAAAATACATCTCCACGATGGCTCCACGGAGTCAGGAGCCCCCTGGACTTCATAGGCTGCTTTGGAAAATGTCAGCTCCTAGCACCAAAGGGTTTAATCTGAAGATCATCATTAATGAAAGAGAAAGATGAGGTTTGCATACATGTCCCCTTTCAGTGAGAAGTGTCGGAATTTGAGGACATGAGTATATACAGAAAAAGAAAAGTTGGAGGTGTTCTTTTTTGTTTTGTTTTTTCCCTGATGGCTTAATTCAGTGATAAATGTACCATGATCAGAATAAACACACCAGGTCCTTATCCTTTACTGCCCACTTCGTAAATACTTGAGATGTGTTCATTTTGCCGAGTAAAGTTCATTTCTTATCATCCAGGTCTCAATTTTCTTCATTACATTATGTTGCCAGGCTGTCATAATATTTCAATTCTCAAAAGAGCAAATATAACACCCATTTGTTTCAACCCCTTGGCATGGATAGTTGGGGATTTCTCATTTTTAGCACCAAGGGGTTAAATGACAGCATCTCTTCTCCCAAAGCCAAATTCTAATCTATATGTACAATTTCAGAGCCTCATCAAAATTTTGTTTTTACACAGGAGAAAAAGTGCATGATTCTCATCGGCGTGTACATTCCTTGCACATGGGTCAAAAGAAACTGCAGTTAAGTCTGTTTTATGTTAAGTTGGAGCTGCATTTGCTAACATGACATACAATTCTCATCACTAAAAAATAAATACTACTGCAACATAAACAAAATCATAAAAGGACATTCAAAGTTTTAACATCCGAGAAAAAGCTAATTCACGTAGAACTGAAAGTAAAAAATTAAAACAAATAAGGCAAACACCTGTTTACCTTGGTGTACAAATTTTGGTGAAAAGCAGGATCATTACACCTGTCTACATTCTTCAGCCATCAGAGGTGATAATATCAAGAAGGGAAAAAGGTTTCCAAGAACAGGGGAAATAAAACGCTCTCTGGTGCAAATCATATCATAGACCCTTTAAGTGACCTACTCTGCTGTGCATATGCTTCCTTCCTTGGTCGAACAATGTTCCTTTGCCAACAACTGCCTGTGAAATCTGGACATCCACATGTAATATCAGGCTTCCTCTGCAGTATCGAATACGAATTTAAATTTATAAATGTATATATCTATCTTAATAGTTGTTCATTCCTTCTCTCAAATGCTTCCTAATGAATTCCAGTAGGATCTTACTGATACCTACCTATTTTACGCACTGATCTGATATGCTTTACTAAAATTTTGCATATGCACATCACCACGCTTCCACAATTGCTTGTTCTGAATTATAAACTAAATCTTCTTAGTCTAATTAGTTTTTGATTTATCATCTAGAAAGTTAAAAAATATACCTAGAATCATTTAGCCTTCACTGTTAGGGAAAAACAAAAATTAAAAGATCAAAAGATGACAGTTGGTGCACAAATGAACAATGGTGGGCTCATGACTTCCAAAGATTGTAAAATTACCTCTTAAAGTTGCTATAATAGTAAGACAGTAGCAGCAACAGCATGAGACCTTAGACTGAGATACAATTTCATGCAAAAACAAAAGTCGAGTATGTCTGCATATATGTGTGTTCTCATGTGGGTGAAAGGCGGCGAGGGGTGAAGACCTTGGACTGGTCTGGGATGTCTGAAGGTGCTCCTGCATTTGTAAGAGCTAGGACTGCTGTGATGTCCAGGAATCATTTTCAGTAATAAATCTAAGATGACAGTGAAGTAGCAGAAGAGACTTATTCTCGTCCGCTTGCAGAGTAGGAAAACTGAGGGAAATGCGGCCGCCTCTCACTGTCCGTGCAGTCCATACCGTCCTCATCATCTGTGGGCAGGAAACAGCTATTTTAATTTTGCATTAATTTTTTGCAACATAATCTCTGGTCTATATAGTTCTAATCCCTAACATAATAAAGATTAATGGAGGCAACAGCTCCCAGAAACTTGTGTTTATCAATAAAACATAGGATGGATACACTTAATTTCAAAAACTTTCTCACTTTCAAACACATGACCTATGAAGAAATAATACTATCCAATCATCTCCTTCAAGACACTAACATCTCAAGGCTCAAACTCTGAAAAACTATTGAAGAAGACAAGATTTTTAAAAATAAAAAGGAACAAATGATCTTCAATAACCTTTACTTTCATGAAAACATGCATGTCAAAGTTACAAAGTCAAAGAATCCTAAGGCACCCAAAGTATCTGCCTAGAATCCAGTATCAATCTGTCTTCAGATGCTTGTATTTCTTCTTCATGGCGCTTTAGGTGTGATTGCAAAATAAAGCTTATTAGGATTTCATTTCATTTGAGCCCTTGATTTACATGTTTAAGATTTTACATTCTTTATTCTACATCTAATACCTGCCTTAACTTACTGTTCCTAATTTTCCTACAATAAAACTTTAGGGCTTCCCTGGTGGCGCAGTGGTTGAGAGTCCGCCTGCCGATGCAGGGGACACAGGTTCGTGCCCCGGTCCGGGAAGATCCCACGTGCCGCGGAGCAGCTGGGCCCGTGAGCCATGGCCGCTGAGCCTGCGTGTCTGGAGCCTGTGCTCCACAACGGGAGAGGCCAAAGCAGTGAGAGGCCCGCGTACCGCAAAAAAACAAAAACAAAAACAAAAACAAAAAAAAACTTTAAAGTAGACTAAAGAGAATAAGTCAAGGAAAGAGAGGGAAAGAGGCCAGCATCTAAGTATTAGTTCATCAGGAAACAAATTGGGAGACTTGAAAGGCATGGAAAGAGACGACTTCCATTTAAGCTGCTCCTCCCTTTTCCTCTTCCCTGTTTTCTTGCATTTGAAAGGTTACGAAGGATCACCCAACCTCTTCCTATAACTATTCTGATGATTAAAATCCTGCAGTGTCAGAATGCTCTTCCTTTACATGTGTCATGAATTCAGTCGCTCAGTCCACAACGTTCCCGGTGCACCTGTTCTGGGCTGTGCACAAAGTCCCTCCCTGTGTCCTCGGGGCTCACCCCACTAAACCCCTCTGCTCCACTTGCAGTGCCTTTGGTCATATGCTGTGCTACAGGAAATAAGTGAGAGTTTTTCAAATACCCAACCTTCTTCAAGCAAAATAATTCCACTCCCTCAAATTCATATAGGAAGTACATTACCAATTCTTCTAATTTTCCAACCTCTCCAGGGAGCATCAATTTCATGTAATAGGAGAAGGAATACAGGTCAGACCCCACTGCATCACGGGCACTGACCCTGTTACACAAAAAGGATGATGCTTTGCATGCCTCTGAAGAATAACAAACATTCATGCTCTTTTCTCACTGTTCTTTTCAGCATTCTATTTTTAATAGAAGATTCTAGAAATGGGATCAAGTTGCTAACCGAACTTTGTAGCCTTGAATGTACCAGAAAGTATCACTGTATTAGGTGGGACTCAATCTCACAAGTAGCATTTGAGGCTCCCTGCTCTGTGTAAACTTCCCTCCTGCAAACAGACCTTTTAAACTATAGTCCTCATTTCCAGATAGTACTGCGATCTGGGGAAATCTCTGCCTCCTTATAAAATACCAGTTAGGTACCAAGCAAACCATCTTTTAGGTCAAACACCTTCCACAGTATTTTCAGATATACTAAAGATGGTAGGAGCTGTGGATGGCATATAAAACCTCTGTAAAACTCTATAAAAACTCTCTAGGGGAAAGGCAGCTGAAATCTTAATGTTCAGACTCTGACACGTGCCAATCACATTTCAAAGGAATAGTTTTCCCCGCTAGCAGCTTTGTTTTGCTGGGTGTGTTTCTGCACAGCGAACAGACAGCACATGTGGGAAGCCTGGTGTTGTCCGCCAGAGAGGGCTTGTCCAGCTCGCTGGGCTGCAACCAGGCATCGCACCAGGGCAGGGAGGCCTGAAGCCCAGGGCAGCCTGGCTCTCGACAGGAGGAGGGGTTGAATTTCCTTTCCAAGGAGTATTATTGCTATGAGGCTGCACTGTCAGCTGAAAGTTAAAAGAGAATCTTCATTCTGTCAATTTAGTAACAAATTAATCCCATTTCCGAACGTAAATCTAAATCTTGTTGATGACCATACGAGGGCCCCTGCATCTGGATCTTCTTTAAAGTCAATTATATCACCCTCTCACTCCATCTCCCTCCTGTTCTTTTGAGCTTGGCAGTAGTGAGGGGCAAGTCTCTGATCGTGGCCCCAAGAGGAGCTGTGAGTTGGGAAGGTGCTGGGGCAGGAATGAGGGTTTCCCCTGGGCCCTCAGTGCTGCGCAGGCCAGCGGGGCTGTGGAAGGAGGAGAGCTGGATGCAAGTGACAGCTGACAGGACAGCCGGCTGCCCCAGCCAGGCCTTCACACCCAGTCAACGGATATAAATACGTTCCTGCACTGAAGGAAGGTTCAGAGGGAACAGTGATGATGATGGACATGAACTATGAAAAAAAACCCAAATAGCACACATGCGGGAAAAGAAAACAGGGTGATCAACCCTACATTCTACCTCTGAATCCCTGGATCCAGGCAGCATTAGTTGCCTAACTTCCTTAGAACATTTAACCAAAGTAATTATATGGCAGCAAAAGCTACTAGGAGCTCAAACAAATCCTCTTTTCCTCTAAGAGGAAGCCAGAGGACCATTAATGAATATAATGCAAGACGACACATTCCAAAATCTGTTCAATTAATTAACACCAGTGAGGAAAATCTGGCATGTTACTGCAGCTGTTTGTAAAAAAGGAACACTTGCCTTTCTAACTGCTGATTTGTTCTAAAAAATAGCTCCTTTCTGTTTTATAAAAGCAAGGTGGCAAGTGGGAAGACAATCGCTAACTTAATGGTCCTACTGTGGGTTTTTATGAACAAAACCTCTGTGCTTTTAGCAGCTTGAGAGCTGCAGTGGTCTCTCACCAGCAACACTATTCAAAGCTGCAAGAAGAAAAGATTATGTTAAATGTAATCACAGTTCAAGGCTTCACAGATTTTCCTTTGATCTGCCTCTTACGGGAATTTAGGATATACCCAGGGATAATCCAAGAAAAAACACTGTCCTTGTGCCCTGGAAGAACCCGGGTGCTGCAGTCCACAATTACTGAGGCTATTGCCTAAGGCAGGAGCCCAGCCCTGTGGCCTGGTGCTGGGAGCCGCAAAGGACAGGCTGCTGGTGTCCACACCTTGGCCTCAGCCCACCTGCTGAGCTCCTTCCCCTGATTTTTCTCTCTAGAAATCCTGAATTGGAAAATAAGTTGGCAGGTCCACAGGGTCCCCCTGCCTCTAGATTGTGGTACACGCTGTCAGTCTAGACGATGCTTGCTGGATGCTCGTTTTGGGGCCACCTAGGGCCCAGCATCAGGCCAGGGCCACTCCTCACTGCTAGCAGCATAGTTTAGTGGTCCCTCCCCCATCCGCAGCCCCATGTCCACTCTTTTTTGCTAGTTATTTACCTACCATCACCCTTCACCTAGTGGGTCACAGAACAAAGAACACTGTGGATTGGTTAACCTGATGCTTAAATAAAATTAAAAATAGGGTTATTGAAACCTATAGAGAACTCTGGGTGCCTTTCCTAAAGAGATGGCTTCTCAGGCACACACAAGGGAAAGACGGGGCTCCTGGAAATTATCAGCCCTGCACTCCCCTTTGACCTGTCACATTCCAGAGCTAGTGAGGGGCAGAGCCAGGACACAAAGCAGGGTCTAAGTCCAGGGCTTTCTGCAACCCCATCATTCTCTTCTACACTGGGATTTTACTGTTAACATTTTGGAGTAAAATAGGCACTCATGGCTTTGCATTTATTTACACAGCCTACCTATTTCTATGACTTTCAAAATAGCACACTTAGTTTGTTCTAAGAATTAGAATCCACGAATACCAAAAGCTCTATTTAACCTCCCAAAGCTCCCTGTGAAATCACGTGAGGAGGTAAGCCAAACACAAATTCTGGGCTGTGATGGGCAACAGCACTGTCTGGAGAGAGTCGGGCCTCCTTCTGGCCCTGAAACTACCAGGCCTCGCCCTAATCTGTTTATTTCCTCATTTAACACATATTCATTGAATACCTACGCTGAGCCAGGTACCTAACTCGGAGCTGGGGTTAGCAGTGAATAAGACAAACCAAATCCTTCTTCTCAGGGCTACTGCATTCAAGCTGGAGAAACAGTAAACAAAGAGACAAATTAACCAGAAGAATACCAGCAAGTAAAGGTGTCAATGTAGAGAACTGGCGGGGGCAGGTGGTGATGGGGTCTGATGGACTGCACTGTTCTTAAGGTCGGGAGGCTAAAGAAAGCTTTCTGATAAAGTGACATTTAAAGAGATCTGAAGGACAAGTAAGAATTTATTCATGCATATGTCTGGGAAAAGAGAATTCTAGGCAAAGAAGAGTAAACACACAGTCCCAAGGCACAGTGAGGGACAGTGTGTTCAAGGTGGGGCTGGAACCCAGGGACTGTGGAGAAGATGGACAGGATGAGGTCTGAGAGCAGGGTGGGACCAGATGTGACAAAGCTGTGCAGCCAGTGTGAGCAGTTGGATTTAGAGTGCAGCAGTGGGGCCCCTGGAAGGTTTGAAGCAGGGGAACAATGTGGTCTGATTACAGTTAAGGTTATATCCAAACGATGAGGCTCTATGGTGGGAAGCACTCCTAGGCCAGTCCAACAACTCAGTGGTGTTGCCCAGAATTTCAGACAATTGTATCACCACAGCCCGCGCCGGGCCAGGGGAAACCACGTCAAGGCTACGTCCACTGCTCCTACTTAGACGGTCCTTAGCTGATTGCCCACAACTCCACAGGCTTTCTAACATCATCTTCAACTCTCAGAGATTCTGATTCTAGCAATGAAGCCCTCATCCACCACTGGTGACAGACCATGAGCAGTGCTTCAACATGCTGCCCTTTCACAGCTTGACCTGGGCCTTGTCGGCCAGGCTCTAACTGCTGCTCGTGACTATAGCTAACACTAACTGCGGGACTTAGGGAAGCTCAGCTTCTCTCTGGGTTCTAATTTCTTCCCTTATAAAATGAAAGTTAAGAGGCTCTTAACCTCTTGCAAGTCTAAAGAAAGAAAAGTGCATATGCACACATAATTATATTTTTCATTTCACAGTGTTCATAGTCTCTCTTTTTGTCAGGCCCTGGTAAATCAGCATCATCAACTAATCTGCCTGTTTTTTTTTTTTGCGGGACACAGGCCTCTCACTGTTGTGGCCTCTCCCGCTGCGGAGCACAGGCTCCGGACGCGCAGGCTCAGCGGCCATGGCTCACGGGCCCAGCCGCTCCGCGGCATGTGGGATCTTCCTGGACCGGGGCACGAACCTGTGTCCCCTGCATCGGCAGGCGGACTCTCAACCACTGCGCCACCAGGGAAGCCCCTAATCTGCCTTTTAAAAAGAAAAGAGAGGAGAAGGAATGTAGGAAAGGATATAATAAAAAAGAAAAGGAGAAAAAAAACTAAAATGATGTTATTGTGAGCCAAAAGATGTGTGATTGAAGAAATCTTTTAGCTATCCAAATGTGTCCCTGAAACTCAATTTTATCCTTACTCCTTAACTAATGATGACAGAATACAGACCTCTGTCAGCATATGAGAATGTTTATAAATTATATAACAACCTTTTCTTCCCTTTAAGTGAAATGTCTTCACCAAAGTGTAGGGCACACACTAGTATATGTGGAATGATTTTAAGTGGTGCATGAATGTATAGCTTTAATAGATATGTAATTTAATTTATAATATCAAAAATTACTAGCAAACCAAATTATGTCTTCACAGATATTACTGCTTAAGACACAGCTAAGTAAAAAAGAGTGATTCAGTTTAAAGTGAATTTAAAAACTACTAAGTAAGCAGGAGACCAGAATTAGCAAAATTTAGAAGGTTGTGTCTGAATGAGCAGTGGGAAATGTGGGAGGTCTTCATTTCAGAATCCTTTCAGCTGATGTCAAAATAATCTATTAGAGAATAGTAAGGAAGGGCTAGTTAGTCTATAATTTAGTCTATAATTCTTAACTCTACAATTTTTCCACATATAATTTTTTTTTACTCAAAAATACTTTGCTCTTAGCTACCTGTATTTAGATATTTCCACATTGAAAACCCCATGTTCTTAAATGGAACAGAATAAGTCACTGTGGAATTTGACCTTGAAAATATCCAGTTAAAAAAATAGGCTGTTTTCTTCAATTGCATTAGAACATAATCAATTTCCTTCTAGATTTACTTACACTTTTCAGGTGGTGTTATTGTAATAGTCTGAGCTGTAAATTCTTCATCAAAGTATCTGGTGTCTGTCTCAGATGTTACTTGAGGCTTAAAAGGAGGTACAAGCTGTAAGAAGCAAAAGAGTACTGTTAACAGACTTCAGTTTAGGAAAATTCATTTCTAGGATAAAATTAGAGAGCAAATACTAAATGAATAGTGCAAGAGGCTAGACTGCTCAGTGACTGTGTAAGGTAGATGTGGTATTTGGCTTCACAGTCAAGACTAAACACAGAACAGTAGGTACCTGGTTGTTCTATATTATATTTGAGGGATTATGTGAAACAGAATAATTGAGAACCAAAGAACAGGGTGCTTCCATGTCCTGGCTATTGTAAATAGAGCTGCAATGAACATTGTGGTACATGACTCTTTTTGAATTATAGTTTTCTCAGGGTATATGCCCAGTAGTGGGATTGCTGGGTCATATGGTAGTTCTATTTTTAGTTTTTTAAGGAACCACCTAAGTGTCCATCGACAGATGAATGGATAAGGAAGATGTGGCACATATATACAATGGAATATTCCTCAGCCATAAAAAGAAATGAAATTGAGTTATTTGTAGTGAGGTGGATGCACCTAGAGACTGTCATACAGTGTGAAGTAAGTCAGAAAGAGAAAAACAAATACCGTATGCTAACACATATATACGGAATCTAAAAAAAAAAAAAGGTTCTGCAGAACCTAAGGGCAGGACAGGAATAAAGACGCAGATGTAGAGAATGGACTTGAGGACAGGGGGAGGGGGAAGGGGAAGCTGCGACGAAGTGAGAGAGTGGCATGGACATATATACACTACCAAATGTAAAATAGATAGCTAGTGGGAAGCAGCCGCATAGCACAGGGAGATCAGCTCGGTGCTTTGTGACCATCTAGAGGGGTGGGATAGGGAGGGTGGGAGGGAGACACAAGAGGGAGGGGATATGGGGATATATGTATACGCATAGCTGATTCACTTTGTTATAAAGCAGAAACTAACACACCATTGTAAAGCAATTATACTCTAATAAAGATGTTAAAAAAAAAGCAGAAAATAAAAAATAGGGTGGGAAGAGGATACTGAAAAGTCTGTCCTAATATTTTTTCCTAGTAAAATATATACAAAACCGATGGATTTGGGCTGAAACAAAATGTAGGCTCTTCCTAGGGTGGGAAAAGCGCAACCTTGCTGGCTTTCTCTAGCTCTTCCCGGTGCCTAGCTGAACAGGTTATTATTAAAAGTGCAATTTGATAACATAGTTGTTACCAACACAGTTGTTACATAGATCACAGATTGAGTGCTGCCTCTATACTTGGCGGCAAAGAAATATAACTCTGCTTACTTGAAACCCTCTGGAACAGGGGTTCTTGGCAGCCCCCGAAGTGACGTGCAAACGTTTTGTCCATAGATTTTATCCCATTCCTCAAAAGGAACCATGACCCCAAAGATTAAGAGTAACTGCTCCAGGGTTGAGAGAACTGGACTCATTCGCCTCTGACCAGCAGCAGGCATGGGATGGGGGAAAGTCTTGGGATGCTGGAGATGACAGAAGCCTGAGCCATGTGAGCCTCCACTTCCGCTACCTGGGAAGGGACTGGCTGGGAGGGACTGGAACCAGGAGGGGGCTCCTGATTCTCAGGGCTCCAGCCTCACAGGTGAGAGCCTACAGGTTTCTTTTTAACATAGGAAGCCCAGACTCAGGGCATGGAGTCAGAGTATGTGCTCTGATGAATACCATTCAGATAGAAAAATGGAAAACAGAGTGACAGAAATTAGTATATTTTATAAAAATTTTACAGAAACAAATACACAACTGGCATCATTCAATGCATTTTCCACTGTTACTGTCACCAAATTTATGTTAAATAAGACAAAAATCTTTAAATTATTCTCCAATGTGTTTTTTTTAATTCATGTTATTTTATTTATTTTTTTTACATCTTTATTCGAATATAATTGCTTTACAATGTTGTGTTAGTTTCTGCTGTACAACAAAGTGAATCAGCTATATTTATACATATATCCCCATATCCCTTCCCTTTTGAGCCTCCCTCCCACCCTCATCACAAAGCATCAAGCTGTTCTCCCTGTGCTATGCAGCAGCTTCCCACTAGCCATCCATTTTACATTTGGTAGTGTATATACGTCAATGCTAACCTCTCACTTCATCCCAGCTTCCCATTCCCCCCCTTTGTGTCCTCAAGTAAGTTCTCTACGTCTGTGTCTTTATTCCTGCCCTGCCACTAGGTTCATCAGTACCGTTTTTTTAGATTCCACATATATGCATTAGCATACGGTATTTGTTTTTCACTTTCTGACTTACCTCACTCTGTATGATAGACTCTAGGTCCATCCATCTCACTACAGATAATTCAATTTTGTTCCTTTTGATGACTAACTAATATTCCACTGTATATATGTGCCACATTTTCTTTATCCATTTATCTGTCGAAGGACATTCAGGTTGCTTCCATGTCCTGGCTATTGTAAACAGAGCTGCAATGAGCATTGTGGTACATGACTCTTTTTGAATTATGGTTTTCTCAGGGTATATGACCAGTAGTGGGATTGCTGGGTCATATGGTAGTTCTATTTCTAGTTTTTTAAGGAACCTCCATAGTGGCTGTATCAATTTACATTCCCACCAACAGTGCAAGAGGGTTCCCTTTTCTCCACACCCTCTCCAGCACTTATTGTTGGTAGATTTTTTGATGATGGCCAGTCTGACTGGTGTGAGGTGATACCTCACTGTGGTTTTGATTTGCATTTCTCTAATGATTAGTGATGTTGAGCATCTTTTCATGTTGTTGTGGGCAATCTGTATATCTTCTTTGGAGGAATGTCTACTTAGGTCTTCTGCCCATTTTTGGATTGGGTTGTTTGTTTTTTTGATATTGAGCTGCATGAGCTGCCTGTGTATTTTGGAGATTAATCCTTTGTCACTTGCTTCGTTTGCAAATATTTTCTCCCATTCTGAGGGTTGTCTTTTCATCTTGTTTATGGTTTCATTAGGTCCCATTTGTTTATTTTTATTTTCATTACTCTAGGAGGTGGATCAAAAAAGATCTTGCTGTGATTTATGTCAAAGAGTGTTCTTCCTATGTTTTCCTCTAAGAGTTTTATAGTGTCCAAGCTTACAATTGGGTGTCTAATCCATTTTGAGTTTATTTTTGTGTATGGTGTTAGAGAGTGTTCTAATTTCATTCGTTTACATGTAGCTGTTCAGTTTTCCCAGCACCACTTATTGAAGAAACTGTCTTTTCTCCATTGTATATTCTTGCCTCCTTTGTCAAAGATAAGGTGACCATATGTGAGTGGGTTTATCTTGGGCTTTCTATCCTGTTCCATTGATCTATATTTCTGTTTTTGTGCCAGTACCATACTGTCTTGATTATTGTAGCTTTGTAGTATAGTCTGAAGTCAGAGAGCCTGATTCCTCCAGCTCTGTTTTTCTTTCTGAAGATTGCTTTGGCTATTCGGGGCCTTTGTTTCCATACAAATTTTAAAATTATTTGTTCTAGTTTTGTGAAAAATGCCATTGGTATTTGATAGGGATTGCATTGAATCTTTAGATTGCTTTGGGTAGTACAGTCATTTTCACAATGTTGATTCTTCCAATCCAAAAACACGGTATATCTCTCCATCTGTTTGTACCGTCTTTAATTTCTTTCATCAGTGTCATATAGTTTTCTGCATACAGGTCATTTGTCTCCTTAGGTAGATAGTTTATTCTTAGGTATTTTATTCTTTTTGTTGCAATGGTAAATGGCAGTGTTTCCTTAGTTTCTTTTTCAGACTTTTCGTTGTTAGTTATAGGAATACAAGAGATTTCTTTGCATTAATTTTGTATCCTGCTACTTTACCAAATTCATTGATTAACTCTAGTAGTTTTCTGGTGGCATCTTTAGGATTTTCAAACTATGTTTTAGAAAACCAAGGGATGAGCAGAATTAAAAGCATTTTTTCGAAATAAAGCACCACATTTCAGTTTGCAGCACATGTTACAAAGCATTTTAAATTTCTTTTTTTTTTAACATTCTTTCTCTATGCCCCCAGTACACAGATATTCTAAAGTCTCTATCATTAGCAATCACTTTTTTGGGAACTGAAACAAATTCAGGTTCCACTGATGAGCTGTAATGGCTGCTAAGGTACCAGAACACGTTTCTAGCTGCTCTGTTAGGATGACTGGAAACAAGCAAGCAGTTCACTCCACTGATGGAAATCTTCCCTCTTCTATTCATTCAAAATCTCATTCTCACACTGCTTTGTTTTTCTTCAAGACTTTTCAACATCTGACACATATACACATGCATCACCATTACACCTCCTTCCCAATAAAATAAAAGTTCCACAAGAGCAATGATTTTTAAAGTCCCTCACTGGCATCATACACATGCACACAACACCAACAATGATAGTGACTGGAGAATTTTTGGTTTTCCTTTTAGAAAACTGAGGGATAACTGCCTCTCTGGCAGGCAAGTAGGAGACTGGGATTCTGGTTGTGACTTTCTTTCTGATTCACCATTCTACAAATGTTCAAAAAATAGGTCTCATCCTTTCAATAAAAAAGAATTAACCAGAAGAAATTCTCCGAGCAGAAATGGGCTTCTATTGGGCATGTGGAGTAGGTTTTGCTTACCTCTGCCCACCCTTCCCATATGGTTCCTTCTGATGGCAGAAATGTAAATCTTAAATCTGCCTTCAAGTTAGGGGAAAGCTGTTATCTTTTTAGATGAGAGACAGAATGGTCACCTGAAACTTTAAAAAAACTGAAACAAATCTTTAAACAGTTTTCAAAAGATTACAGGGCGCTTAAACTAGTCTGTTAAAATGTCATGATACTACATTTACCTGACCTCCTCTCTCAAACAGCTGCCCTCCCCATTACTTTCTATCCTCACATTGCTTTATTTTTCTGTAAAAGACTTTTCAACATCTGACACATACACACCTATATATACACATGCAAAATACAGGTTTATTGTCATTACACCTCCTCCCCAGTAAAATACAAGTTCCACAAGGGTAAGTACTTTTAAAGAACAGTTTTATGATTGACATACAACAGACTGCACACATATCT